GCCACATTCTCGACGATAATGTACTCACTATTCTATCTCAAGGGCTTTTGGGTTTGTAAATCTTTTTGTTATTTTGTCTCATTAACGCCTGTCGCACAATGTAAATCACTTCTGCGAAGAAAACGTATATTATAAATATATAATAAATAAAAAATAATGAAAATATAATGTAAAAAAATAAAACTTAAATAATATAAAAACAGATAAAAAAAAATAGATTATATCATGTCAAAAATTAAAAGAAAAATATTTTTCAAACGACATTCATCAATTGATGTTTATTTAATTATCACACAACGTTTCGACCACGGTGTTTCGACCATATAATTTTAATCCTTCGCACACTTAACAATAACACTTGAGAAGGTCAAAAATTATATGAAACGTTGTGTGATTAATTAAATAATATTAATTAGCTTAAATGTATATATCAGTCGAAAAATATTCAGTCATTAATATTTTTTTTTTAGATTAAATTATTAAAAATACAACATAAAAGTAACTTTGTTTATTTATTATAATGTGTATTTTTCAATATATTTAATTGCATTTTAAATATAAAAATTATATATATGATATATATATTCGTGATAGAACAAACAGATTTGATATTTTTTTTATCAATTCTTTTTTATAAATAACATAAAAATCACAATAAAATCATTATAAAAGTAAAAACATGCCAAGTGACATATATAAGCAAAATTGACGCATTGTTTGTAAATATGCTTTCAAAAAAATTGTTCTACAAAATATAAAAAAAAACTTAATCTATACATACAAACACATAAGCACATTAATGTTTATTAATTGCACATAGAATACACTTATAGAATTATGCAATATACATATTGGAATCAAAATTGAAAAGTATAAATTAAATTACAAATTAGAATTAACTATTATATATTTTATTTTTCTGATTAAAGTATAAAAAAGAAGTGACATACATGTACTCATGCTTTGAATTGTATACTTCAAAAAACTTATTATTTAAAAAATTACTTGAGCAATCACATTGTTTACTATCATCAAAGTTTGCTGTGTGTTATCTAAATAAATTAAATGGAAGAACTGTGGCAACGTCTTATCTGCATATAGATAATATAAATATGTATTATCTTTATATCTGCATCTTACAAGTAGATAAAAAAAAGTACTACCTTTACTATATTATTTATCTAGAATAATTTTCAGATAAATTTGGTTTAGAATCAAAGCACATAAGAATACTTAAAATAGACAAAAATACGATAAAAATTTATAAATAAAAATATAAATACATATATTGTTGTATCCCTTTTATAAGGGATCCTTATCTTTTTAGGATCTTTATCCAGCTAATTTTAAATTAATCTCGACACAAAACTAAGATTCATTATCAAAAATTTATTACAATATTTTATGGTCGTATTTCAGATGGCCTTTACGAAGAAAAGATATGAAAGTCTTAAGGAAAAAGAAAATGAAGAAAACATAAACTTTGTTACAATGGCATAAATTCTGCGACACAATTGCGAAATTATTTGTCTAAATTCTTTTGATGATTATTACAATGATTATTATTACAATAATATATCAAATCAAAATTATTTCAATGATTCAATTAGTAATGTAGTATTAAAATTCCATGATGTAAAGAAATTCAGTGAAAATTTCGATGAATATGCAAATCGTTTGAATGAAAATGAACTTGTTTTTAAACGTAAACGTAAGCCTATAGATGTGCTGAAATGTATGTTTTATATTGAGGAGATTAAATGCTTGTTAACACAATTTCACAGTAGGATATTCATATATATTATAATGCTACTATTATTACAATTTATTGTATTTATTCATTAGTTAATAATTTAATATATATACATTTTTTAGGAAAATTGATCGCAATTCAATCCAAGAATTTTGCAATATGGAAATGTCTCACTATGAGAAGATATCTTTGATACGAAATGAGTTGGACAGATATAGAGAGAAACCTGAAAAGAACAGATTGGAAGAAGTTTTGTACTTTCATAGCACAACGTATTCAACCTCGAAAAGCTATATGTTACACGAATGTGAGTGCATCATTGGATACAATCGCACAAGAGGTACTGAATTGTCTCAGAGTGAAGCATCCGAACCATTCGATATTCTCCACTTCTGAAGAAACTTTTTCCTATTGAAAAAGCAACAATATCGCAGATAATCATTGGGATAAAACAGAAAGTACGCAGATTATGGACACTCCAGGAATATATATTTAGCATCTTGAATTTTCGAGCATGTATCTCCCCATTTTCACCCGAAGATATCAAATGGATTTGTATAAATTATGTAAGTTATTAGAGATTATAATATATATAATTATGGGCCATATATGTATATATTATATATTGTTCTTAATATTCTCTCGTTTTGATCAATTTGTTCTGTATTATACCTGGCACAATATTACAAAGTAAATATGGTCAAGATATCGTTGTATATACAATATTTCATAGCGTGGCTAGAAGACTTGGTCTACGTTGCGATCTAATAGATGTTTATTACTGAAATCTGTATATTTTGGAAATCAAAATTGTAAGTATAGTTATATATTAGATTCGACATTATCATTTTTTCGATAATCTTTCTTTTTTATTATACGCATACATATATAATTTTTTATTATAAAAATTTTCATAATGATTAAAGTAATATTTTAATTATTTACAGCGTCACGAATAATTTAGAAAATGAACGATGTTTTTACATAGAAGACGAAAATTTCCCGAATTGTCTTCATGATTGTCTACCAGATTACATGTCTTGTACACATCATGACGTCATCAAAATAAGAACTGCAAAGGTGGAAACTTATTTATTACTTCTATTAATTTTAAGTTATTAATATGCTTGTAAATTGACAAGCAATTAATAAATTACATTATATGTGTGTAGAAGAAAAGAAACGTACATTTCTCAGTTCTTAAATTATAATTGGATTCTTGTTTACATTTAATCTTTTTTCATGTTTAATTAACTTTTTCAGATGTTGGTCATGATACAAGATTTTGTTGAAACGTTTATATGGACACATAATAATCTATTTGAAATTAGTCAATTGTAATGTGTAAAAAACATACGCGCAATAACATAATCGCTAGTTAGTATATAACATAAACCATTGTAAAAATAAAGAGCATTGTGAGATATTTTCAGATAACAATTATGTATAATTTACAATTTTCTATGATTTAACGTGTTTTAAGTGTTTATTGAAGCATTTATTCACAAAAAATCAAACTAAAAATTTTACAGTTTCTGTCTTATTTTAAATAGTAGAACACATAAATGAAAACGTGAAATATGCTGTGGAAATTATCATAATATATAATCCACCTACAGATCAATCTACAGATTCGGACCAACATAATAGATAATAGGATGTTATTGACATATACATATATACATACATGTTCGACAATTGAGAATCAACGATGAATAAAATATAGCTATTATCTTTCTGCGATATTTATTATATTCATTAATATAAATAATAAAATAAGAAAATTTTGTGACTGCAAAAATTTGAATTGATGCAGAAGAATTAATAAATCTTGAAATAAAAAATTAATTAGTTTAATAACTTTTTTAACACTTTCAATATATGCAAAATATGACGTAATAAATTTGCCATCTATTAATATCTATTATTTTGAAACATATATAATCGATAGTGTGTTGCATTTGTATAAGTATAAATAAGTATGTTAATAAAAGGCAATGATTTTTATATTTTCAAATATACATAATTCTTTTGTATTGAAGGAGACGATAAAAGCTTATAAATGATATTAGATTTTGTATGATATTAGCATAATTTCAGATTTTGCAAATTTCTCAATTTTAGAATCTCAATTTTAATTCCTCAGTTTCCGATTCAGCGACTTTTGGACCGATATATTTTGCTTTTCTACATCTTTGTAGGGAGATCAAAAAGGAACATAGGAATTAAAATCTCAAATTGAGATTTATTCACAAACATCTGCATTGAGTTCGCATAGTCTGTTCATTTTGAGTTTGTATTTAATCCATAAAGTTTTATATTCTTATAAAGTTTAGATTACTAAAATATATACACCCCATATATAATAGGCGCGAATAAAACTACATAAAATTGTACAATATTCTTATATAAACTATTTGTACATGCATCATTTATTAAATATTCGTATTGTAAGTCGGAAATTTTATTTCAACTGAGAATTTTATCTGTAAAATTTGAAAAATGCAAAATGTAAATCTCTCTCTTTCCTTTTCTCTCTTATCGAGATTATTTCATAATGCACAGCACTGGAGTTGTAAATTGTAAAATATACATACATAAAAGTTGGTAAAATTTAATAAAATAAATGATAACTTAAAATATAATTATTTTAATTAGCTTAAATAATAAATAATACAAATACATGAAATTAGTAAGATTTTAAATAACTGATAAATTTGAAAAATATATTATTTTTAATTAAGTTAAAATAGCGAACAATACATAAATAAATAGTAATAATAAAAAATAATTAATAAATAAATTATTTACCACGTTCTATTTTAAGTGCACAGAAAAAATGGTAATTTTTGCTAGTTCTTAATTACATTTTCTGCGCATGCCGTGACAAATTCTTATACCTGTATCTTAGTGAAAACAAGCAATAAGGCTTTAAAATTTGGGGTCACAATTCATAATAAAGAACAGACCGTCTGTAGTGTGGAAACGTCTCTCGTATACATCAAACACACATTTGTGCTCTTGTAATCGACAGATTCATTTCGTGTACTGCGAAAAGCAAGAAATTAATTACGCGAATAGTTTATTGCAATCACTATAATTTATATTCCTTCTTGTGTTTCGTTTTTCATAATGTCTGATTGTAAGATAACGAGCTTACCAGAGGAGATCATAGCCATCATTATCGGCTATAATGTTATCACTATTGAAGATATCATTAACTTTCGATGCGTGTGCAAGAAATTTCGTTATGCAGCCAAATATAACAAGTTCTTGGAAAAAAAGTTATTTCAGAGGTAATTCTTGTGATTTGTAAATCTTTTTGTTATTTGTCTCATTAACGCCTGTCGCACAATGTATATCACTTCTGCGATGAACGTATTTTATAGATATATAATAAATACAAAATATTAGAAAAATTAGATATGTTGCATTTATGTTGCATATTAAATTATTCGCTTTCATTTTATGACATAATTAAAATTTACCATTTATTAATATCTATTATTTTGAAACTTGTATCATCGATAGTGTTGCATTTGTATAAATAAAAACACGTATGTTAATAAAAGGCAATGATTTATATATTTTAGAATATATATAATACTTTGTTGTTGAAAGAGACAATATAAACGTATTAATAATATTAGATTTTGTATGATATATTGTATGATAATTGCAGTATTTGAAAATTTGTGCAAGATTCAAGCAAGACTTTAAAATTTAACTAATTCCAACAAGTTATATCTTTCTTTTATGTAGAGGATCTCTTCAATGGATAAGGCAATATTTTAAGAAATATAACAAACAACGTTAAATATATATTAAAATATATTAAAATGTGATAGTTGTGTGTGTGTACAAAGACTTATACAAAAAAAAATTTTTTATATATCTGAAAATATAAAAAACACATAAATGTATAATAAATATACTCCGCACTTGTGCACAGAACACAATTAATGTCATTAAAATGTAACACTTATTAATAATTTTTATTATATACAATATATAAATTGAATATGTGTGTGTCAAACTTTTATTAGAACACTCGAACCATCTATTTTATTTTTCCAAAATAAATTTATTATTTTTTTATTATTAATTAATTAATTAAAAATAAAAAAGAAACATAATTGAGAAACACATGCTTAGTGAAGCAACAGCAAATATACTTCACACTTGAGCACAGAATACATTTAATGTCATTCAAAATGTAACATTTTAGTTTCCGTTTCTTTTAAACTTCTGTTAGAACACTCATCTTATATTTTATTTTTCAAAAATTAATTTATTAATTTTACAAATATGTTTCTTCAGTAATCGAGCAATTTAAATAATATATAATTCTCTATATCACGCTATATAATAGTTTACACCCTGTACATACGCGCGAGTAAACTACATAAAATTTTCCAAATTATTAAAATTTGTACATTATTAAAAAAAATAAAGATAGGCAAAATAAAAGAGAAAAAGAAAAAGTGAAATATATTTCATATTATAAATAATGTCTTAACGATACTAATAATACATATAAATATTTGTATTTATAAATTAAAATAAATTTGAACAAATTTAATTAAACTAAAATTAAAAATCTGAACATTAATTTAAATGTCTGCGCTGTATTTTTTAAATTTATAAATTTATTCTTTGATTTTATTATGCGGCGCATTTATCATGATGTGAATTGAAATATTTTAACTTATTTCGTTACACAATCAAAAGAAGAACATAAATTTAATAGAATAAAAATCATAACAAAGTTTAACATAACTATTAACGAAGAATGTTTTTATCGTATCAATTATGCAGAAGATCTCTTCAATGGATGTGGCATTATTATAGAAGGTATAACAAACAACGTGGAGCATGCGATATATCATATAAAAATAAAGCATAAAGAAATTTATACATAATGTTTCAAGTGTGCGGCCTTCTTATTCTATATCAAAAAATATATTAAAATCAGATAATTGTACAAAGACTTATACCAAATTTTTTATATATATCTGAAAATATAAAAAAACATAATTGAAACACACATGCTTAGAACAGCAAATATACTCCACAATTGGATATAAAACACATTTAAGGTCATTCTGAAACGCGAGATTTTCGACAAATTTAATAAGATAAATAATTCTTTTAAATTAATATTTATATTTCAACTTCATAATATCTCTGCATCTCTCCAAAAGCTACCAAAAGAGTAAATAAAAAACCGATAAATATAAATATTATTATTTAGTTTTTTTTTAGTGATTAATATAAACTTTTGAAAAATAAGTGAACAAATATACTTAATGAATAAGAAAGTTAGTCTCGAAATAAACAAGGGTATGCGAACCGAAGGCGAAGGTTTGTGCGTTAGATAAGAAAAATTAGTTTTTCCCCTATGTCTTATAATTGTGCACGAGACACGAAATTTGCTTAGCATAGTGCTAACAATAAGACTATTTAGGAATAATTCTCGACTTAGATTTGAATTTTAGAATCTCTATTTTAATTCCTATGTTCCCGATTCAGCAACTTCTGGACCGATATATTTTGCTTTTCTACATCTTTTTAGGGGGATCAGAGGGAAACATAAAAACTAAAACCTCGAATTGAGATTTATTCACAAATATCTGCGTTGAGTTCGCATAGTCTGTTCATTCTGAATTTGCATTTAATCCATGGAGTTTTTATATTCTTAGAATTAAGATTTCTAGAATATATACACCCCGTATAAACGCCCAAATAAAACTACATAAAATTGTAGCATAGTCTTATATAAACTATGTACATACATCAGTTTCTAAATATTTGTATTCAAAGTCGAGCATTTTATTTTAGCTGAGAATTTTATCTGTCAAGATTTGCAGAATGAAAAATGTATATCTCTCTCTTTCCTTTTCTCTCTTATCAAAAAAATTTGACAATTCACAGCACTGGAGTTTTAAACTGTAAAATTTATATACTTGAATATTATTGGTAAAGTTTAATAAAATAAAAAATTGATAATTTGAAATAAAATTAGTTTAATTAATCTTAAATAATACAAAATATAAATACATAGAAATTAGTAAAATTTGAAATAACTGATAAATTTGTAAAATATATAATTTTAATTATACTTAAATAGAGAATAATAAATAAATAAATAGTAATAACAAAGAATAAATAATAAATATATTATTTATCACGTTCTATTTTTTAAGTGCATAGGAGAAAATGATAATTTTTGCTAGTTCTAAATTTCATTTTCTGCGCATGCCGTTACAAGTCCTTATATTTGAATCTTATTGTTAGTGGGAAGAAGCAATAAAACTTTAGAATTTAAGGTCAAATTTTATAATAAAGAACAAAACGTCTACAGTGTGGAAAACGTTTCTCGTGTACATCAAACACACATCTGTGCTTTTTGTAATCGGCAGAT